ATCATTGAATCGGAGAATGCAGATGTTATTCTAAGCATGTGATTGGCTGTAAGTTCCGTGGATTGTGGAATCCTTCATTAATTGTCGTCAATAAATAAAGGGAAGTAACTCCAAACTGAGTATAACAATGTTTTTATACGACCATTTTCATAATTTTTCTGATTTAAATCAATAAAAACACTAGACGCTAAAAAAGTCAGCCTTTATTAAAAAATTGAACCCTATTATGAATTTTAAAACGCATTTAGCATATTAGCGTCCGTTAATTTCAACCTTTGGTATTGCCAATGCAATGTTCTTACCTAGTCTGTTGGCGGTGTGATCTTCTTTCACAGAATGAAGTAATGTTAACTATGTACTATTTCTTTCTGACATGTATGTCCAGAATTAGAAAGGTATGAAAGCCATTTCAGTAATGTTGATTGGTTTGTTGTGACCACCAAAATGTACCATTTCTTGGTACATCCACAGAATACTGGATATCTCTAAGCTCAAACATGCTGAAAAAATGACTCAATTTGCATTTGTGTGATTTAATAGCATGAAACCTAAAAATTGAATATCAAAGCAATAATTATTCATAAACATTACATACTGGACATCCCCTTAAAAATGTTACTAAAAACTATAATGGTGTGCAGCATCTGCATCAGTGACATACATTTGATTCACATGTTATCAGACAGCGCCTTGAGCATGCACTAGTTGCCTGGATATGTGCGCTATATAAATATCCTATAATAAAAATAATAACATGCAATAATTGAAATTAATAAAAAAACTTTTAAATAAACCCATCAAAATGTTTTCAGGAAACTTTTCCCACAGAAATCTCTAGATTACGTTGTATAAGACCTAAAAATGTGGTTCCAATTACCCGACTGACCCTTGAATTCTGGTGCCGACCCTTTTTTTTAAGTGGTATGAATAAAATAAGCTTTCAGATGCCATTTTATTTTCCTGGCGGAATCGGCCATTCTGATAGAGAAAGTCGACATGATGGCCGCAAGCTTGATTAAATAAACAGTTACACATTGACAAATGTGTTATTAGTTTGTACTTTACTTAACAAAATAAAAAAATAAATAATAATCATACCTACCAACCCTAAATTCTGAAGAGGTGTAATCGGAACCACAACAATATTTTTGTTTGGCCTAAACAGGTATCGGTATTAGGAGCAGACATGCAATATTTTTTAATTCATTTTGTAAACTAAAATTAAAAATGTCATTTACTTACTGTAGCATGGTCTACTCCCATTTGTGAGAACTCCCAATTGTGAGACTCCCAGTTATGAGACAGTGGAGTAGGTAATTAACACACAAAACACACCATACTCCCCTTCCTGATAGAATGGATTAACCCTAGCTAATTACTGATTTGCTATGTAACTGAATCTTTTGGAGGTAACTTAATGAAACTTTATAAGATAAATTGATTAACATATTCTGGTAAATGTCCTTAAAAATTACACTTTTTGTGTAGGTAACTTCATGATGTTGCTCTTGTCGATATCAGAGTGAAAACGCCCTACACTATTTTCTCACTTGAAAAGAATTAATATCAATGTATTTTACACTACCCGTTATAACCTGGATACCATTTTGAACGGAAACAAGAATTTACATCTTGTGTAAACCAGCAGAAAATAGTTGAATCCGTCCACGGTTACATCATCAAGACACAATGATTCAAATTTTCTCAGGAAAATGCTTAAATTAACTCAACAACCTTGAATCTCATCCTCCATTTCATTTTGTATTTTATGTTGCATGGGAACTATGCCTCCTGTGGGTACTGGGCTGGGCTGATCCCACTTTAATTGTAGGGATGTGGAAACATCACCTATGTGCACTGAACCATTAATTAATGTGTCTCACAACTGGGAGTTCTCACAAATGGGAGGACACCTGTAGCATTTGTTTCAAGTCATTATCTCCTGTGTTGGCAGCAAGTCCCTCCTGTTGTTCAATAGAAATAGGTGAAAGCTAAATTCATTAAAAAATGTTACTTAGGAATCAGCTCCTAGGAAATACCCTACAGTAAAATTGCATCATAATGCTTTGCAAACCATTCTGATGTTATCGTGCCTCAGACTCAGAGGTTCAGCAGTAGGGTAGGCTAGCAGTTAAAGTGTTTTGCTCAGCACATCGAAGACCTGGGTTCAATTCCCTATTTGGGTACAGTGTGTGATATTGGTTTCTGCTGTTTAGCTAAAACAGGAGTAAAACCTCACTCATGCACAAAGGTTTTAACTTGTGAGGACTCTTGTGTATGTGTTAAATACACAGGTTAAGATTGTACTGGCAAACAGGGATAAGTCGATCACCGACCTGACAATTGACCTGTATTAGCATGTATGAGTGCCGCCCACTGGCGCTTGCCATTGTAAGGGAAGGGGACACAGACTGTCCGCAACCAAGTGTAGTGTGACTTGCTACACTGACGTGAGAGTCTTATGAGCAAGGCGTGTGCAGCTACGCGCGGAGTCAATTTCATCGTCATGCAATGCATGAGTACTATCCTACATCTGCTCTACCTTTCACAAACCAAATGGATTTGCTCATTGCCATGCACCGCCTACTTCTCGTAAACGTGTTCTCTGAACCGGTCCAACTTATCCTTGTTTGCCAGTAGGGCTGGGACGATACACTATGTCACGATTACCATACATATCACGATATTTTACCTGCGATATGATACGTATCACGATACATACACCCTGAAAGAATGGCACAGTATAGTATTATCTTAAACATGATAAGGTACTTATTTAGAGAAAAATATGCAAGTATTATAGAGTTACTTGTTTGTTTATTACAATAGTGTTATTGTTATACACAAATACGTTGAAATAAATCATTTTAAATCTTAATTTTGAAAAAAGTTGTGTATCGTTTTGTATCGATACACCAGTCGTCGATATGATAGCTGTATCAAACTTAAATGTATCACGATGTATCGGTGAATTGTCCCAGCCCCATTTGCCAGTAGACATACAAAATTTGATTTTTCAAGATAGACCAAACACCAAAGTCTTCATATTCATCTCATGGCAAAATGTTGGAAATATAGGTACTTTTGCAGTTGTGAAAAGTATTAAGCTTTAAACAGAGCTCAAATTAAGCATTAGAACGTGAACTGGTGCAAAATGAAACTGCAAAATTCAACCTCATATTATGCCAACTTGGCCCCAATGCATGTTAATATTTTGCAGTTAAAAAAACACAAATGTCAGCTGGAAAACAGAATGATGTGGAGCTAGGTGGGAGCAATGACTCGAACGACTACTGTGACAGTGGTTGTATGACTGTAACCATGGTTACTGCTCATGTCATGACATTTTTAAGATAAGATCATCAGACCAGAATAGATTTGTTAAGATATAAAACAAGCATTATATAGAATTTTATATTGAGCCACAGGTGCAGCAAAGTTACTGTAGATCATGAAATATTTGCGAAAATTGCAAATGACTTTAGCTCACAAAAATATCATGATGCAATAAATGATCAACAAATACAGTGTGTCATTATCTCTTAAATATTCACCAGTTTATATAATCAACCACAGATCTAGACAATACATAATTAAGCAATGACAACAACTTGGGGGAAGACTAATTACTATCGTTACTAGTTCTCACATGTCAAACAAGGGATACTCCCGCACAAAAGTTACTCAATTAGGTCTGATAGTCCAGACAGGCGCCAACCACGCAACACACAATCTTGGTTTTTAGTTTTAAGCTTATCTGGCCTATGCAGTGTGTTGTTTTTAAGAAAACTTTACTGATTGCATACACAAGGAAGTACCCTGCTGAGCTCAGTTCAAGATTAGCGACAACATTTAATATGTGATTGGATTTACTTTCTGTTGCAATTTATTTTTTGAGTATTGAGCAAGTCGCAAAAATATCATGATGCAAAAACATGTGTTGGTTGCCACTCGCATGAATATTGTGATGCAAAAATTTCCTCATTTACAGTATTAGCCGAGATTGCACATGGTGGAAGTAGGTTTCATTTCCATAAATCGAGCCCTGTGTAATAGCCAGACTCTTAAGACTTTGATAGTTTATGTATCAAATCAAGGAATATGTTGTCATTTCATATCAGGGTTCGAAATACCATAAATATCTTAGCGTGCCATGGCACGGTAAATATCGAAATGGCACGGATAAAAAGGTTCTCAGTGCCCCTATGGCACGCCTAATTTTTTTAGAGACATAAAACACCTTTAGTCACTTAATAACCAAACAAAACACTTACCGGTATGCAAATGACAACCAAGCAAAAACATTTATTGACTTTATCACCTAGGAAATCACTGGAATTATGATAGTTCATGTAAAAACACTGGTTGTTTTTTGTCATTTAGAGTGTTGGGAGTACTGATAGTTCAGTTATTGAAGAGGAAATTATGTATGTTAGATTTTTTGGAAAAGGTGAACCTCTCACACAATTCTTAGCTATAAAAGGTGGTGGGAAAGCTGAACAAATGAAACATAAGAAAGCCAACTTAAACAGAAGACATATCAGTGATAACAGAAAACTGGTTACATTTGTTGTTTTCTCACAATAAATTTCGAAACGTCATCATCCTTGCTACAGTCATTTATTCTAAAAACGTGGGCACACCTGATTTCTGAAAGGCACACCTAAAATATTTGCCTGGTGCCCTAGGGCACACTTAGAACAAAAAGTATTTCTATCCCTGCATATTTATCTTCAGCAACCAATGCTTGTTATGTGTGAAGCGACTAATGGGATCGGGTGGTCAGGCTTGCTTACTTGGTTAACACGTCATTGTACCTCAATTGTATAGATCGATGTTCATGATGTTGATCACTGGATTGTATGGTCCAGACTCATTGATTTACAAGCTGCTGCTATATAGTTGGAATATTGCTGAGTGCGGCGTTAAGCAACAACAAACAACACAAACCCAAAACATTTGTTTTACCATTATAAGAATGTTCTTTTTATTTTTTCCAGATCGAGGATGTCACTAGAAGGAAGTGGAGAAAGTGAGTTTAGTATCATGAGGTGGACAGCGCTGGGAAAGGAGGTGTTGGATATGACTGCGCAGCGAGAGAAGACAGCCAGCAGCAGTAACGACGAAATGGATGACAGCAAAGACGACCCTCTCACAGGTCAGGGGATCATGTATGAGAATGGCGAGGTGAGCATGACTGACAGTTCAGGATTCAGGACCACTGACACAACGGCGGTGGATGGTAAAGGCGGGGTTAAGGATGAAGCGAAAATGTCCGAGATTCCAGTGGACAATGGCAGTGAGTTGAGTCTGGATGCAGAGATCAAATTGTTGTATGGTAGCGATGAGGAGAAGAAACCTGCTCCAGTTCGAGCATCTAGTGTCCGGAGCAGTCTCAAGGAAGACAGTATCGACAGTGTTACCGAGGCGTCGGTGTATGGGGAGACTAGTGGAACAGACTCCAGTTCCAACTTTCCCGACAGTGACTTTTCCGATATCTCGCGTAAGAGGAAAAGAGGTCACAAGTCTAGTAGCAGACTTGATAACCTTGTGAAGAAAATAATGAAGAGGTCGACTGATCTCCCAAGGGATAAACCAAGAGACAAGTCATTAACCACCACCTCAAACGAAGGCACGCCTGATGTTGCTAGTGAAAATTCTCAGAGTGATGCACCAGCAGCTGATGATGATGCTCAAAGGTTGTTCCAGATCAGAGCTTTTGCTGAAGGTCAAATGTCCTGCGAGGAGTCTTCCTTACCTGAAAGTGAGGAGAGCGAGGAATATGAGGAATATTTTGTATCACACCTGCACGCCATGGAAGACGACATGTCCTCAGAATCAGAAGGAAATAAGAAAACCGAAAAGGATGAAGATTACATCCCTACAGAAGGCACTGATGATGCAGAGGCGGAAGAAGAAGAAGTTAAATCTGATGATGGTTCCAACTACAGTGATGATGACTTTACTAGGTTGGCAAAGAAGAAAAAGAAGTCGAAAGCCAAGCCATTTGTGTGTGGAGTCTGTAACAAGGACTTCATCAGCGCTAAGATGTTAGAAGGGCATATGAAGTGTCACATTGATCCTAAGTCTCTCACTTGTAATGTCTGTGGCAAGCTGTTTGACTTTCCTTACAAGCTGAAGAACCATGCCAAAGTGCATAATAAGTCATTTGAGTGTGATATCTGTGGTCGGACATTTAATGACCGGGGAGGGTTCACTAGGCACAGGAACACACATTCGTCAGAGAAATATACCAATGAGCCGAGTTCAAAGGAAACACAGTCAAAGAGTGATGCTTCAACAAAACCAAGCACTGTCTCTGCTCCAGCGAGAAGATGAAGTGTCACATATGTGGGAGAGAGTTCGAGTGTAAGAGTGAGCTGTCGTCTCACCTCAGCTCCCACGCAGGTGGTTCAGGAGATGGAGATGATGCAGCTGTTTCCACAGAGAAGATGAAGTGTCATACTTGTGGGAAGGAGTTCACCTCCAAGGACAGCCTCAGTCAGCATCTGAAGACACACACTGGGATTGTGTACGAGTGTGACATGTGCGACAAGACCTTCACGCAGGATGAAGAATACACGGCCCATCTGAAGGCTCATGATGAGGAGGATGACAACACGATGACGAACTGTACAAGTGTATGACCTGCGGGGACATGTTTCAGTCTCAGAAGGAGCTGGACCTACATCAGAAGAAGCACACGAAGAGCACGTTCATGTGCAACTCCTGCGGATGGACTTTCACGGACGAGCGCCCTTACCAAGCTCATCTCAAGTCTCACAAGGCGGATGAAGGGGTCACCTGGAAGTGTAACAAATGCAAGCTGGAGTTTGCTCATAAGAACGATCTTCGGGAACATCTGAAAAAGCACATCAAACGCACTTACAGATGCGAGCAATGTGGTAGGATCTTCACCGAGGAGATCCTGTACATTGCTCACCTGCGGAATCACAAGGCTCATGAGGATATAAGATGGAAGTGTAACAAGTGTAAGCTGGAGTTCAACAAGAAAGAGGAGCTCAAGGAACACCTGAAGATCCACATTAAACACACCTACATGTGCGACACATGCGGGGAGACGTTCGCGTACGAAAGCGACTACGCCGCACATCTCAAGAAGCATTATTCAGATGAATTATTGAAATGCAACTTCTGTGAACTGAAATTTGTGTCTCGCATAGATCTTACCGATCATTTGAAGACTCATGTGATGGAGCTTCAGATCTGTGTCACGTGTGGAGAGACCTTCACAGACCAGGCCAAGTACCTGAAGCACATCAAGTTCCACAAAGCCATGCTGCGGTGCAGGAAGTGCGGGATCGTGTTCCCCTGTCGGAGCGATCTTGAGCTCCACATGAAGACCCACGTGCAGCACATCTACGTGTGTGAGACCTGCAGCGATACCTTCACCAACGACAAGGCGTACACGGACCATCTAAAGACCCACAATGCCCTGCAGGAAGAGGATGATGCAGATGACTTGCCTGTCATTGTCATTTCCTAACTGGCTTCCTCCCATCCTTTTAGATGTGGAATATCTTGGAATTTCATGGACAAAATTTGAAACATGTTCTCTAGCTTGACCCAAAGTCCCTCATCAAATCTGATTATACTTTTAATTTTGAGTTTTCTTTTAGTTTTGATTCATTTGTTTTGTTTTGTTTTTAGTTCAGATTTGTGTCCATCATAATTAGATGGTTAACTTTTGTAGTATTTTGGTTAAAATTTGATTTCTTGTGACATGATCACGTTACAGGTCCAGCTTCTATAAACACAATGTTAACAGGGGTACTCCCATATACATAGGTTTATGTCTCTGCGGACTGAAGTTTGCATGGAAAATGTCTCTGCAATCTATTCATGAAGAGTTATTTCCCTTGACCATGTCAGGATCTAATAGCATTGACTCCATCACATGTCTGTTCTTGTAACATCTGTCTGTAAGTTTCAAATAACACTTGTCAAGATTTCTTTCACAGGGGCTTGTATTGCTGAAAATACTAGCTCTATGTCCAACACTTGTTCACTAACAGCCATCTACATATTAGTAAATATGTATGTCTGTCAGTGAACGAGTGTTGGACTTAGGATGTATTATTTTCAGCAATACAAGCCCCTGTGATTTCTTTTATATAATATGTCAGAACACTTGGCTGAAAGATTCAGCAGCAAAATTTAGGGATGTCACGATGCATAAGTTTCATGAATCGATACGTATCACGATACCCATGTTATGATTCGATATGTATCACAATACCTATTTTCGCGGCATTATTGCGTAAGTTTAGTTACATTTTGAACATTAATATTTCATATTTTATAACTGTTCATGAAAAGATCAACATTTTTTATTCTCAGAGATTAAAAAGTTCTAATTTCCCATCTTTGTGCATGAAAAATAATCATTTATAACTCTCATAACATAAAAAAAACAAGGATACAATTGCAAAATGTAAATGATACATAAACAGACAGACAGTTTTATTCAGTAAAAGGCCACTGGCCCATAATACAGTCAAATGCGTGATAACACGTCACATGATACATAAACATATTTAAACCAATACTTTCAAAACTAAATGTCAATACAGTTTTGAATGTATCGATAATTGTATTGTCTTAGAAAAAGTATCGATGTATCAATGTATCGTGGCATCCCTAGCGAAATGTGTAAAGTTGATGTGACCGAACAAAACTATCCTGGAACTTAGGGGAAGTAACAGAATCTCGTATATCTGAATCAAAGCAGTAACATCTGCAGGGTCTGTGTGTGTGTGTGAGTGAGTGAGTCATAAACTCAGCTGGTCAGTCGTGTGTTACTCCAGACAACAGGGGTGCCAGAAATAGGACTTTTAAGATGCCCAATAGGAAACAAGCATCACTGATCTAACAGATATTTTACTTAGCAACTTCAAACTCACATATTTCAGAATATTTTGTTATAGTTGCTGTTCAAATAATTTCTTTCCACAGAAAGAAACAGTATTGTCCAATCTTAGCTTAGAGTCTGACACATTGTTTCTAGTGTCCTGTGAAGATATTCTCTTTTCTGATTATTTCAAATATATTTGTTAGAATCATAAAATATGGTTCAGTAAGCAAATTGGTGTTTGCTGCGACTGTTGCAGCCTACTTTAGCCCCAGCATAGTGCCCCTTTGAATTGTCTTTAGGTAAACAAGTGTGAGGATACTGTCGTTTTTTATTTCCCATTTGTCAGTTGGATCAGTTGGATTTTAACAATGCTGTTCCTGATTAATACTTCCAGGAAGTTGTCTAGTGGACCAAACAAGTGCACTGTGTTGAGCCTGTGTCGTACACTCTGGCTGAGATGTGCCAGGAAGGTGGCTGAAATATTACTGAACAACTTTGCTTCAATTCAAGAGTTCTTGGAGTACTACAATATTACTGGACAATTGTGAGAATGTTATTAGACTGAATATCTCTGGAATTATATGATTGGAATACTGGAATAACATCTGAATATTACTGGACAAATGTTGGAATATTATGAGGATATTATTGGAGTTCTGAAATAGCACTGCACTACATGCTAGAATAATACTTGAGGAATGCTGGAAAATGATTACTGGAACAATGCTAAATTTTCCTAAATTTTAAAAATTATTTCACTGTTACTGGAAAATGGATGAATATTCATATGATATTGTTTGAATTGTCATAAAGATATACCAATCCTCTTACACTTGTTACTCATGTGACTAAATATTGTTGAATATCACCTCGATGATTTGGCCAGTCAGGTGTTTCTGGTATGCATAATGATTTGTGTTGGGAATCGGAAACCAAATTCACTGTCGATTATCGGAGGATTGTGGTGAACGATTATCGATTATAATTGAAATATATACATTTTTAATGTAATCACCAATTTTAACGGTTTTTCCCAGTTTTTTTCTAATTAATGGGTTTTTATAACTAATGCTGTCATGCAATGAAATGCACGTCATGCAAGAAAGACACTGGGATTGTACTTAAACAATAAAAGTGGTTAAAACTTTACAATATGCATACCTTTACGCTGTTGAGCGCATGTTTGTTCGTGAATATTCGTCAGATTTGATGGTTAGTTTACTTCATTCAAGGGTGTTATACAAAAACAACAAAATTCTGATTAATCGAAAATATGTTTTTTTACAATCGATGATCATTTTTAATTCTTCTTTCGATCGATTTTCGATTATTTTCGATCATCGGAACATCACTAATAATGATATCATGTAAGTATCACATATTATGTTTTGATTAACTGAAAGAAAGATTATTTTGATGACACCCATAACTGTCAATAAGTCTGTTTGGGTGGAATTTCTTTAAAAGAGTAAGTTTAAAACTGCAGTTTTATTTAGTGTCCTATTCCAGGAAGACTGTTCCAGGAATAGCCTGCTGGCCTGTGCCAAGGTTAACAGCATCGAGTGCCCTGATTGAAAAATTGTGATCATTTATTTGGTTTTCTTAATCCTTATCACTAATCAGTCTTGTAGACTTTCTAGGTTAATGTCTGTTGATGGTATTATTTAAGTTATGATGAAGACCTGTTGTAGAATATGAATAAGCTATCTCAAAGTATGAAGACTACAGCACGAAGAGATGAACACTTCCAATGTTACTATTAAAGTTTCCTCACTACAATCTTGACATTAGAAGGAGAGTGAAGGATGTTTCAAGCGTCCACTCGGATCCCAAAGTCAATATATGTCATCACAAAGTTGATGTGTCATGCTTACAGCACCTGTGAAATAACTGCATTTAGACTGAATATGGCCATCCATATTTCTTAATACTTCCTGAAATGTTTTACCAGTTTTTGCATGCTGGCATGCTGCAAGTATTATTACACAGTTGCTCAGCAACCAGATACAATTGCCCCCAAATACAGGATGATAGTACACATTGTTACAACATATCTCAATAGTTGCAATGTGATGATACTGCATAAGATTTTAAATATATTCTTTTGTTAAAAGAAAAGTGATCCCAGCAAAATATGTTCTGTCAGTTTGAGAGGACTGTGTATTGGTAAATGAATCATATTGCCATATATTACAATTCTGGTTTTCATATTGCAGTACTTTGGGAGCTAAAGTGTTTGACAGTGAGTGATTGCTATAATGTTTGTACATGGAGAGCCTATGTTCTGCATACTAAGACCCAGAAAATATTGTTATGGTTCTGGGGGGGCTGTGGGGTAGCCTAGTGGTTAAAGTGTTGGCTCGTCACGCCGAAGACCCGGTTTCGAATCCCCACATGGGTACAATGTGTGAAGCCCATTTCTGGTGTCCCCCGCTGTGATGTTGCTGGAATATTGCTAAAAGCGGCGTAAAACCAAACTCAGTCAGTCAGTGTTATGGTTCTGATTAAGGATGCCACGATACATTGATGCATTGATACTTTTTCTAAGATGATACAATTATCGATACATTCAAAACTGTATCATTATTTAATTTTGAAAGTATCAGTTTAAATATGTTTATGCATCATTTACATTTTGCAATTGTGTCATGTATTACGTATCGAATCGCTATTATTGGGTTGTATTACAAAGGGGTAACAGGGGTGGAAATAACCCATTGCCCGACGCCCCAGTCCAGTGTTTTTTTCTGTCGGGCAAGCAAATTTGCATATCACACTGTACCAGTGTCCAGTTGACTTTCCAATGTTAATTATGTTGTTTATTTAAAAAATCAACAAGAAAATCGGCCAGTATAGTGGACAAATTATCAGGGCAAGTGATTTTACATGTGACACTGTACCGGAGTACACTAGCAATTTTAAAGTTATTTCCACCCCTGGGTAAGCGCAGTAGTTGGAAACAGAAACAAATGCAAACTTATGTATGGTGACATCCCTAGTTCTGATATAATGAAATGCTGTGCAGTTCTACTGAGTCAAATTACATAAACAGTTACTTCAGAACTGTTGTACATACTGTCTACAAATGGTCAATGTTCAATGTTCACATGTCCTGATGCATGTATTTACTTGGTTTTATATTGATGTATGATATGACGATATGTTACATGTAATGTGACTCGGAAATTATGAAGCTTGAACCTTATTGGGATATGTCACACACTGACTAAGTACCAGTACTTGATGTACCCATGTATCATGTCCTGTATCAGAATTTGTATCATAACCCAAGATGTATCTAGGATTCCGCACTCATTATCTTGGGCAGGCAAACAGGGAAAAACTCCTGTTTTTCAAAATATAGATGTTTATTAAATTTCTTGTTTTGTCAGATTAGGAGGTATTTTAACATTGCTCTCAGTGTGGTAGTTTAAAACTGATCAGTGATACCTTTTTTACCTTATTTTCTTATATGTTCTGTTATTAGTGAAATATAAGTCACCTCTGGATGAGGATGTTTCTGGGTTGTTTCCTGTAAAATTTGTGCTGGTCTTTCGGGGAGGTGGGGCAGCCAAGTGGTTAATCATTTGCTCGTCATGCCGAAAACCTGGCTTATATATCCCACATGGGTATGTGTGAAGCCCATTTCTGGTGTCCCCTGCTGTGATGTTGCTGGAATATTGCTAAAAGCAGTGTAAAACTAACCCACTCACTCAGGTCTTTCGGAACCTTGTCTCAGATCATTGGTGCTGGTTGGTCGGGCAGCCTAGTGGTTAAAGCGTTCGCTCATCACGCCGAAGACCCAGGTTCGATTCCCCACATGGGTACAAAGTGTGAAGCCCATTTCTGGTGTCCCCTGCTGTGATGTTGCTGGAATATTGCTAAAAGCAGTGTAAAACTTAACCACTCACTCAGGTCTTTCAGCACCTTGTCTCAGATCATTGGTGCTGGGCGGTCAGGCAGCCTAGTGGTTAAAGTTTTTGATTGTCACGCCGAAGACCCGGGTTCGATTCTCCACGTGGGTACAAAGTGTGAAGCCCATTTCTGGTGTCCCCTGCTGTGATGTTGCTGGAATATTGCTAAAAGCGTGTAAAACTAACCCACTCACTCAGGTCTTTCGGCACCTTGTCTCAGTTCACTGGTGTCACTAACCAGCAATGTCTGCAACTGTCTCGTATCAGGCTTCCCTCCCACAACATACTGACAGGCCATGATGCAACTTGCTTAGATACCGATATTATGGTCCAGGGTCCCGATCCACAAAGCATTCGTAGCATTAAGATGATCCTAACTCCCATACTTTAACATAGACTTAGAACAGTCGAAGCGAGTGTCCACTACGATGGCTTTGTGTCAATAAAAGTGTCAATAACAGCAGCAGGTGTCAATAAAAAATCCAAACTGGAATTGTACATTACTCCATTTATGCTTTTATAGTTCTCACTAATTTATGGTTTTGTGGAGGCGTCTTGTATTTTTCTTATAGCGACCAATATGGAGCAAGGAGCTTAATGCTTTGTTTAACATTATATGTGAAAATTTTGTGTTAAAATACTCCTAAATTTTCAAAAATAAGAACTTTTATAAAGTCAATTTTTTTGTAATTTTCCCAATTTGCCTGCCAAGAGGAAATGTTTTGGGCTCCTAACTAAGTCCCTTTGCTGTACAAAATGGCATTGACCTCACTCTTTGTAATTCTGTTCTGTCTTGTAAAATGCTTAATTACTTACATTGAGATATATTTCATATTATTTGTTGTTGTGTTCGGAAATCATAATGAAAATGTATGTTGCTGAGTAGCATTCCGAGAAGCATCATGTGAAGTCCAGACTTGTACATTGGACATCACTGAACCCTTCTTTAGAGGTCAATTTGATTGGTTTTCCATCAGTGGACTGTATATTGTATAATTGGTTTATGAAACCAACATCAAAACCATTTGAAATAAGAACAAATAGAACGACTCTTCCAATTTTCCTTTTGGTCAATTCTGTTTTATATCCATGGAGATTTTATCATGATTAGCATGACTATCACAGCTGTTGATTATTTTTATATCTCAGAAGGAATGGTGAATTATTCATGTGCAATTTATTTGTGAAACAATATAGCCATGTAGACTTGTTTGGTTTTCATTCGTTAGCTGTGCTAATCAGGTTGATTAGTAGCTATTCTTTCTGGAATCTGAAAAACGTAAATTATATTTTTCTATTCCATTGCCCATAAATAATCACATCTGGACCAGAACTTCTAATGACTGACATCATGAGCATTGATCTTCAAAATTGGGATATGGTATCACAGAGTAAGAAAGCCAATTCACGTTCCTCAACCTGTTTCACGCCCATATCCTGACGAAGACAAATTTCCCAAACCAGATCACCACAGATGTTTTTGCAAAACCAAACATATGTCAAGAACAGCACCATGCATAGGCCTTTCCTTGTTCGTTGGAGAACTTCACGAGCTTCTGAAAACAGAAATAGCATTTGTTGTCTCTGTGTAAGGCAGTGAAAACGTACCGATGAATTTCACTTCAAACAAAAAAAGTAAATCAAATAACATGAAATTAAGATTGCGAATCCTCATAATTTTATTTTGCCAATTGAACATTTAAATCTCAGAATTTTGTTCAACTTAAGATAAAAGTTGTTAAACAAACGATCATAGTTTCAATCGCTATTATTGGTTTGTATTACAAGGGAGTACATTAAATGAAACACCGAGACCAAGTGGGGTTGGTCTAAGTTAACGCTCATCACGTACCACACGTGCATTTGTTTCACTGTTCCAACTACTGCACTTTCCCACTTGTAATACCACCCCAAAATAGCGATTCGAACCTGTGATCGTTTGTTAAACAACTTAATCCTAAAATTCTGAAATCTAAATGTTCAATTGGGAAGGTAAAATTATGAGGATTCACAATCTTAATTTCATTTTATTTGATTTACTTTTTTGTTTAAAGGGAAATTCATCGGTACGTTTTCACTGCAAACAGACTATAGACAACTTTGTGCTTGGACCAGACCTTGCGGTGACATGTTAATTTATGTTTATATATCATCATTAACCGTGTGTTGTACTTCAGTATGTTGCTTGGGCTTGAATTGTTGTGATTGTCTTGATAAGTGTGCAGTTTTTGGATTGCTAAAAATGTGGTGTAGAGTGAAGAAGTCTTGCTTTTTGCAATGTCATGGCTTAAATGTAAATTGTTTTGTCACCAATGCATATGTTGTAAAAGGGCGACACTCCATAAAGCCATCTTTGCATTATGTGATCGTAACTCCCACTCTTAAACATACACAGAACAATATGTAGTGTTGTAAATGGCATCATGGGCAAGGATGGTGCAGAGTTGTGTCCCCTGCATGTGATGTAGATTGATGCTCATGCTTTCAGTCACAAGTTTGTCAGATTCTTTCATGATTGTGTACAGAGCTTTGTGACATAGATGGTATATTTCTTACGGCCGACACCCGAGAAGATCCGGGTTAGAATTGATCTTCAGTATCCCATGCTTGTCGTAAGAGGCGAATAACAGGAACAGCTTGGTTGACACATGTCATCGCATCCCAATTGCATTGATCGATGCTCATGCTCTAGATCACTGGATTGTCTGGTCCAGCCTCAATTATTTAGATACCGCCACCATATAGCTGGAATATTGCAGAGTGTGATGTAAACAAACTCACTCACTCACTCTGACAGCGGAAGTAGACAACATTTGATAGGAACTTCCTAACATGTGATTGATGTTAAATCTGTAATACCTTTCAAAATTTGTTCAGTGGTCAGAGACGAGCATTAATATGAGGTAACCTGATGACTCTTGTCCACTTTATGGGTCACCTGGTCAACATTGTTCTGAGCATTTTCTCACCATTGACCAATGATGCTTATTTTCCTATGAATCGGTTGTACATAGGTCTGTATGGAGTATTGGTATAGTACAGTATGCCATTGTTACAAGGTGTATACTGAAATGTTCAGTTTTGTCTCAAGGCTTAAAATGCTACATTTCCTGATGAAATGAGCTTTTAGTGTTCACTGAATTTGAGAAACAAGATAGATATTTTTTTATTTGTGCTCTTTTATGTTATTCTTTAGAATCATGATTTGATCATATGGTTTACCACAAACAGTTGTGAGTTTGGGAGTCTTCAAACCCGCTGTGGAACACTGTGGAAGAATTTCTATAAAGTGACTTGCATTTCAAGCCAGAGGTGTATATATATCTATGTTCTTTGTGTTATTTGTGTGAGTGCATACATGTGAGCAAGAGAGAATTTGTTGATGTAATTTGTAGGAACAAATTTTTTATGTTGTTAAAACGTGTACTGTTCATATATACTGTTTTCCTAGGTACATCTGCAGCTAGGCATGTAGTTTCTACACGACGCTGATCAGCGAGGTTTTCATGCATACCTAACAAACGTGCATGCTTTAAAAAACAGCTGAATCAGCAATATATTTGACTTGTGATGTGCCCTTTGTTTTATGACATTTGTTTGACTGCATGTGGATCATGCAGAGCGGTTCCAGAAGAACAGGAACTACATTGGTTATGTACTTATCCAGACCAATACAATCTCTTGTTGCCTGGCAACGATTCTGTAACGGTTCCTGGAATGAAGTTAGATAGGAAGTGTGTGAAATGTTAGTTGGGTCAGACTTTTTCTGTCATGTATAGATTTTTGTGTGAAAATCCTGTTTGCTAAAGGAGGAAAGGAACAGTAAGATTTTTCAGTTTCTTCTTTTGTTCTTCAAACATTTTTCTGTATTGTTGCCATGTGGTCTGTGCCAGTTTTCAACTTGTCTTGTTTTTTATTCTGTTGTGCATACATTTTGTTTGTGGTGATCATGTCAGATTGTATTTGGTGGAAAAACAAGAGCTTTTAAAATTTTGAATTTTGTTTTCCACCTTTTATGTCTTTATGGTCAGAAATGTGTGAACCAATTCATGAAAATGTCTTGCCTGGCATAGTCTTAAACATGGAAATATATGTATCATAATATTGTTGTTGAAGGGCATTTTATTTCTTTGAAAAGTTTATTATTATTTGTTTTTCAAGGAAGAAAGTTTAGTCTTTCTCAGAAGATATAAATGCTACAATGGTTTTCATAATGTATGAAATGTAGCAAGTAGTTAATTTTTGTTTTTCATTGTTTTCATGAATCTTAACATATAATTCTATTTAACTTTTGATAGAGATCATCAGATATGTTTAAGTGAGTGAGTGAGTATGGTTTTACGCCGCTTTTAGCAATATTCCAGCCATATCACAGCGGGGGACACCAGAAATGGGCTTCACACATTGTACCCATGTGGGGATTTGAACCCGGGTGTTCGTTGTGATGTGCGAACACTTTAATCACGAGACTACTCCATTGCCCAAATATAATTAAACCTACACATGACATTTCATTAAAATAATTTCTGTGTATCATGAAAAATATAAAACTCCTTTTCAAAAGTGGAGCAGTATATCATTGAGCATATTGAGTATATCAAAGACTAGTCAGTGTGAGACAGACCCAAATACATTGATTGTTATCATAAATTGAATGTATATCATTGTGAAACTGTATTAAAGCATTTATTTGTTGTTCATGTCAATCTATATGTCCAAAGCATTTATTGTGTATCTACACAAGGTATGAGCAGTCTGTGTGTTGCCATGGTGAATGTTTATCATAATATATAACTGATCATCTAATCTGATTAAACTAGTTCTTTGCATTGCGTTTGTGTTCCTGTTATTTCATTGTAACGTTTTGTGACCGTGATGTCAAACATCAATATGGCCATGGGTGGTTGAGTGAGTTAGGATTGCTTTTAGTAATATTCCAACAATTATCACTGTTCGGGACACCAGAAATGGACTTCTAATATTGTACCCATGTTGGGAACTGAACCCAGGACTTTGGTGAGATGAGCGAACGCTTTAACCACTATGCTACCCCACTGTCCAGGTTACACCAGAAACTTGTACCGGTGTTGGTAATCAAAGCCAGCACTTTGGTGTGAAGCGAAATGAGCTTCACACATTGTGCCCCTGTTGGGAACTGAACCCAGGACTTCAGTGTGAAGAGTGAAAGCTTTAACCACTAGACTGTTCCACTGCCCCATTATGGCTGAGGGAACAAGCTATTGTGGTGATCTAACCCTTGGTGTATGTTGCTGTTTATCTTCTCCATTATTAGGGAACTTCAAGGTTTTCAACTGTTGCTTGGGATTCCAGGCCAGAATATATCCTCTGCATCTGATGCTGGTCATAGAAGGTTTCCAAATGAATCGAGGGTTAGGTAGTAGATGTAGTGGTCTCGTTCAGTGACTTGGATGGATATAGGGGTTGTTGCTCATAATATCAATCACTGGATTGTCTTGTTCAGACTACCCGTGAAGGTCCGGGTTAGAATGAAACTTCAGTAACCCATGCTTGTCGTAAGAGGCGACTAACGGGATCAAATGGCCAGGCTCGCTGCCTTGGTTGACGCATGTCATCGGTTCCCAGTTGTGCAGATCAGTGCTCATGCTGTTGATCACTGGATTGTCTGGTCCAGACTCTATTTACAGACCGCTGCCATATAGCTGGAACACTGCTGAGTGCGGCATAAAACTTAACTCACTCACTCTTGTCCAGAATGGGCCTGGCTTGAATATTGCTTTGTGGGGACATTTCCTTAGTCTCTCTTTGTGTTTAAGGTAAAACTCAACAGTATTCTGGGTACATGAAGAGTTTTTGAAAATAATCAAGTTGGGACTTCTTGGTGACTGATCCAGTGATTGACATTTGGAGTATCCATCTACTCAGTTTGGATTCAAGGACATGCATCAAGCAAGTCAGGACACTGACCACTGAACCAGTTAGTCACGTCTCAGGACAAGTGTTTAGATTGCTGAAGACAAAGATCTTTACTTTCCTGTCTTCACTCTTGCTCCTTACAAATTTACCTGAACAGTGGTTTGCCTTGCCTTGTTATCATCTCTGGGGCGGTGGAGTAGTCTGGTGGTTAAAGCGTTGGCTCGTCACGCCGAAGACCCGGGTTCGAATCCCCACATGGGCACAATGAGTGAAGCCCATTTCTGGTGTCCCCTGTTGTGCTGTTGCTGGAATATTGCTAAAAGCGGTGTAAAAGCAAACTCAGTCAGTCAGTGTTATCATCTCTGCTTTGTTTTAACTGCCCTCTCTATTTTTCTCTCCTTTCTCTCATTTTCTGCCTCTTGTATTTCTCCCTCACTCTCATTTTCATCATCCTTTCTCTCATCTCTCCATTCATATTCCCTCCCCCTTCACTCATTTCCTCCCCAGTTTTCTTCCCTCTTCTCTCCTTTCTCTAATTTTCAACCAACTCTAATTTTCGTCCCGCTCTTCTCTGTGCTCATTCAAATGGGGCATGGTGGGCGAGCTGGCTAGGCGCCAGGCTGGTGATCCAGCGGGCATGAGGTGCCGGGATCGAGCCCACCTGTGACCGGGTGTAAAAACTCAGTGTTGTCACAACCCCTAGTGTACAGTACAAAACCCTGTGCACTTAAAAGAACCAACGAATCCGTTGGTATATGACCAGATGGTGGCCACATGAATACGTGCAAACACCTAGTTGAGGGTACAGCAACGTGCAGTGAACTTGGACAAAGTACTGTGACTATGTCCTTACCTCGTAAGGATGGGAAAGCCGCAATAACTCTGTACGCCTTGTGGCAGCAAGGAGTTGTATACTCCCCAGGGAGTTGAGATTGATAATAAGATGGGCCGTTGAGATTGACGTACAAGGATCGAGAAAAATACCAGCGCCTTGAGCATGCACTAGTGCGTGGATATGTGCGCTATATAAATATCCAATAATAAACAATAATACCACATTCCTTGAAACCAATCCATCCACCCACTTCCTTCACAAGAAATTGATATCATTTCTCGCACCATGGTTTCTGAATTACACACTCAAACGTTGGGATTGTTACATATTTCGTTAGACTAACAACTAGTCCCTGAAATGAACATATTTTACTGAAAAAAAAGTTCATAGTAAAAAAAAATATAAGGAAAAGGAGCCCTGAGACATTCATTTTTCAGACAGACTTGCACATTTTCTAGACTTGCGAGGGATTTTTATATATATTTGCTTAGGGTCTGTATGACAGACTAATATTTCGTCTACAGATATACGGATGTATGTTTACAAACAATAACCTTCTTTTATACTTGTATCCTGTAGGCTATAGTTTGGCATGAAATGCATGTGGACCCGGTTTTTTGTAAATATCTCTCGACCCAATCGATCTCAAACTGTGCGAGTGGATGTTTTGTCAGACAACCTAATCACATAAATCACCAATTTTATGCATTTGTATTAAAGAATCTGTCTATGTAACTGTCAACAAAATAAACAGCAGAACGCAGACGGCTTGCAGAGGGAGGGAGCCAATGACCTGTAACAGCGGCAGTGTTGGGTCATGGATTGCTGAAGGTCAATATCTCCAACCGGAAGGTCCCAAAAACTAATGTCCATCCATATAGACATAGTATCGGTACAGGGGATGATGTTCCTACAAATGACCTTCCTCGTCCATCACAGGTCTGTTTACAGGCCGCCGTCATATAAGCTGCTGCGTCAGTCAGGAAAGACTGTGAATGACTGGTGCTACCGAGTAACCTTACCGTGAACACCTGGTGTCATATTTCATTTTCAGTTGTCCATTCATATAGTTTTCAAAGCTATTTTCCTCTTTAACACCAAATGGAATCTGTTTCTGAGGATAATCAAAACTGCATCTTCGTTTGCACTGGTATTCTATATTTGATCGTGGGAAGAGTAGTTTCAGAAGGGAAGTGGAACTTCATGGTGATCCAAGACCAGGAAGACACTCAACTGCCACCCGTAAGGACAATATTAATACAATACATGGTAAAACTAAAGATGATTTGCAGCTCAAGAGACTTCTGTAGTATGTAGCGGCTGGTATGATGAAGGAAAACCAAGTTCTATTGATAGTCAACTTCTTTATGCAAAGTAGGTACATCTACTACCACCGTTATCAAGCAAGTGTTAGTACCTGCACCGAAACGTCGCACTCAATGCAATAAAGAAGTTTGTTTTGTACAACAACACCCAGGTATAGTTCCGTCACTTTTGTCACTACAGATTTTTTTCAGCATTTTGTTTTGCTGTTTCCCATTTCCTCGCCTCGAATTTTCAGTCCCCCATCTCCCCGCCCCGAACTTCCAGTCCGAGGTGATATAACAGAAATATTTTTTCCCTATTTCTGTGAAAATGTATCACCTCGTGTAAAATATATTCTCTTACCCATGCACTTTCATAAAAAGCAGGTCAGCTTGGTCTTTCTTCATCAGTATTATTAATAAATTGATTCCGATGCAAAGCAGCTCGACCTACATCATATATTCATTTAGAGATTATTAATAAGTGATCTGAATGATAAAGTGAGGTGAAATAAGCTACACGATTAGTTAAATAACGTTTATTCTTCAGATTTCTATTTGCATTTTTTTCGTGAACGAAGTTTCGGTATGCTTGCACTTTGAATGAATAAAAGTATGAAACGTGCTTGTGATCCAATATGAAAAGTGCTTATAATAAATGTATTCAATATATACTAGCCACATAAAGAAACTTTGCATACAAAAATGTAAAATCTAAATTTATCAAACCTGTGTAGACACATGAGGATTTAAACTCAGAGATTAGTGACATGTATCCAACATGCATGCACGTGCCACGTTCCGTGACGTCAGTGGGTTCGTCCTTGAGACGTGCAATACGTTGTTGCACGTGCATTCCGGGAAAGAGAAACAGAGCAAATGAATGCCACACAATACTGTCACTTTGGAAAGCTCAACCCCTATCCTTGCGATCGTTAAAAAAATTAAACGGCTATTGAAACGCATAGCATGCCAAGGCTCATGTCTGCACAACGTCATGAGGCCATTGGGATGGTCCGTGGGGGAATGTCTCAACGACAAGTGGTTGCACATTTCCACTGCCACCGGAACACCATTTCTGCACTGGTGAGACGCTACCAGAACACAAATGACGTCATCGATCGGCCGCGTTCTGGACGTCCACGTGTAACAACGCCAAGACAGGGCAGATGGATAAGGGTGACCCATCTTCGCTACAGGTTTCAGACTGCAGTGATGACTGCCCGCATCCCAGGACTTCGCCGTATCCACCCCAACACAGTTCGACAACGTTTACGTCATCACGGGATCAGACCACGACGTCCCGCCATGCGGCCTTTCCTGACACAACGTCATCGACAAGCTCGCCGAATGTGGTGGCGAAATCATGTCCGCAGACCCTTGTTTTGGTGGAGAAATGTTGTTTTTACAGATGAATTCAGGTTTAACATTTCCCATAGTGATGGACGTCAACGTGCCTATAGACGCGTGGGAGAACGGTTCGCACAGGCCTGTGTCTTGGAGAGGAATCGCTTTGGTGGTGGTTCCGTGATGATTTGGGGTGGAATAACAGTACGCCAAAGAACTCCTTTGGTGTTTGTTCAGGGCAACTTAACTGGTGTGGGCTACAGGGATCAGATTCTTCGACCTGTGGCAATTCCTTTTCTGCAACGTCATGGCCCTGGGTTAACAGTCCAACAGGACAATTCCCGCCCTCATACGGCAAGGGTTGCTATGGATTTCTTGCAACACCACAACGTTGACTTACCGCCTTGGCCTGGAAATTCACCAGAACTCTCCTCGATAGAGCATGTTTGGGACGAGATGGATCGATGTTTACGCCGTCTTCCTCATCCGCCAGATAACGTCCTTGACCTTGCACCAGAACTTGAGAGAATCTGGCGTGTCATCCCACAAGCCTTCCTTGCACGTTTGATAGGCTCTATGCGTCGTCGATGCACTGCTGTTCTCAATGCCGATGGTGGCCATACCCGTTATTGAGCTTGTGACATGGTCGTTTGACCCCTGTCCCGCTTGTGGACTCGTGACGTCATTGTGATTGACTTTTCAATTGAAATTCTCCCGACTTGTTATGGTCTCATGATCCCTCCATTAAAGTTTATATGTACCTTTGACATTGTTATCGTACTTATCAACTGGGATAATAGTTTGACAATGCACAGTTTCTTTATATATATAGTATATATATATATATATATATATATATATATATATATAATTATAAATTGCCCAAAATATGTATGAAATGTATGAAAAGGTCTAGTGAATGATAAAGTGTATGAATAAATGAAGGAACAAGTGTATAAACATGTATATGTTTGTGTTATGAAGTAATGAAAATATAGACTGGAAATAAACGAATCATCTTACCAGAAGTGAATACATTTTCCCAAATTATCTTTTGACATGTTTTCCCGGTTTAATCCCCCACTTCCATTGTTTCGCTAATCCTTTTTAAATTGACAAGGGTAAAATGTTACGCCAGGCCGACTTGCTAGAAGGGTCTAAAATGAGCAAATTAACCCAATTGTCGGCCTGGCGGTACCTCCCCTCCTTTACAAACCGCCATCATATAGCTGGATTAGTTCTGACTGTGGTAATTAGCAAGAAACATGTAATAAACAATGTATACATTTGTACATCATATGTGGGGCGGTGGGGTAGTCTAGTTGTTAAAGCATTGGCTCGTCACGCCGAAGACCCGGGTTCGAATCCCCATATGGGTACAATGTGTGAAGCCCATTTCTGGTGTCCCCCGCCGTGATATTGCTGGAATATTGCTAAAAAGCGGCGTAAAAACAAAACTCAGTCAGTCAGTACATCATATGTTCCTCTATCTGTCCATAAACTATATTTGGGTGATCTGTTATTATGGTAACAAAGGTTGGTATAGCCACAAGGAGCGAGGAGTCCTGCAAGGCCCACTCCTAGTTTATTAGGTAAAAATGTTCTCCAAGACAAGCAGCACGTTGTCTCGTGTGGCAAAAGGGGATTATATAAACGTTAGTGGATTAAGGCGGGGAGCGCCACGAAGACGTTTAAAATAAGAAAATATGTGTATACCAGTGGTTAGTTTGCAGCTCATCTTTTTAACTATATTGGCTTAGCATTGGATAGTGTGAAATGTCATACAACCGTAGATATTTATAAAGTACAACTCTTAAAATTGCAATTAAAGAGAAGACATGTTTATTTTTATGTGTCACTTTGTCGAGTTGATTCCCATAAATTTGGGCGGAGAATTCCTTATCATTTGTCAGTTGTTCGAATATGAACTTTCCATTGGAACATGGGGAATTTGATTTCCTTCACGATCAGTTGACGATCGACGGATTTAGGTGAATATGGCCAAATAATAAGGCGGCGCACATTCAGTAGTTCTTGAAGCGTCCGTAAAATATATGAATTCCTTTTCCGTGCAAAATGTAGGATGGTTGTTTACTGCCGCACTCAGCAATATTCCAACGCTATGGCGGTGGTCTGTACATAATCGAGTCTGCATCAGACAATCCAGTGATCAACAGCATGAGCATCGTCCCAAGCAATTAGGATACGATGACGTGTGTCAACCAAGTCAGCGAGCCTGACCACCCGATCCCGTTATAGTCGCCTTTTACGACAAACAGGGGTTGCTGCAGACCTATTCTAACTCGGATCTTCACGGGTCCCAAGCTGTAGGCAACGGTCAGGAATGGAAGGATTTAGTTCACTGGCACATTGGTCAGTATTTCAGTTGCATTACTGGTGTGCCACCTTGACCTAAAATGAAAGTGAATCTGGATTTTTTTATGTATTCGAAATAACATCACGAAGTAATATGATGAAACAAATAAACGAAATGACATTACAACATAACGCTTCGTAATAACATGTACGAAATATATTTTTCATGTAATGTATGATATCATTCCACGTAAGTTATTTTGTTACGTTATTTCATGAGTGTTATTTTATTTTTATTTTTGTGTGTGTGTATATTTTTACGTGATGTTATTTAATAATGTTATTTAATAACATCACGTAAAAATATACACACACACAAAAATAAAATAAAAATAACACTCATGAAATAACGTAACAAAATAACTTACGTGGAATGATATACATTACATGAAAAATAGCATAATAAAACAACATATGCGAAATAGTACAATAACATGACCAAATAACACATACGAATTAACATCACGGACTATCACACACGTAATAACATTACGAATTAACATGCAAGAAATAACGTTACCAAATATCATCATGAAATAACAAATACGAAATAACATAGATATACTAAATGAAAAAGACCAAGAAATAATACGAAATAACATCACGAAATAACATATCCGAAATAACATAAGGAAACCACCTGTACGAAATAATATCCCTGTTTGCTACATTTATGCTTCCTGTGTTGACAGCCTGCTGTCCAAATCAGCTGGGCGGATCCACTGACCTGTCTATCTGCACAAAGAATGTGAAAAATCGCCTGCAGCGTGGCTGTGTCATACAAACGCGGGCTGCTAAACAAGCGCATTATCCCACAAAGGTTTGCAAAATTACAATGATACATGGTAAGATCTGTGCTGATAATGTGAGATGATTTCAACTCTGCCGCCACTCGTCACTGGCGTGCCACAAAGGAACCTTCCTTTATTGGTGGTTGGGATACAGCTTGCATCTCCCTGATACATGCATTGTCATCAACCCTTGACACATACGTTATCGTAACCCCTTGACACAGGCGTTATCATCAGTCATTGACACATACGTTATCGTCACCCATTGGCACATACGTTATCATCACTTCTTGACACATGCGTTATCATCACCCCTTGACACATACGTTATCATCACTCCTTGACACATACGTTATCGTCACCCATTGGTACATACGTTATCATCACTTCTTGACACATGCGTTCTCATCACTCGTTGACACATGCGTTATCATCACCCCTTGACACATACGTTATCATCACCCCTTGACACATATGTTATCGTCACGTATTAACACATACGCTATCGTCACCCATTGGCACTAACGTTATCACTCACTTCTTGACACATGCGTTATCATCACCCCTAGACACACTTTTTTATCATCACCGCTTGACACATACGCTATCATCACCCTTTACACGCTATCATCACTCCTTGACACAAACGTTATCGCCACCCCTTTATACATACGTTATCGTCACTCCTTGACACATACGTTATCGTCACCCATTGGAACATACGTTATCATCACTCCTTGACACATGCGTTATCATCACCCCTTGACACATGCGTTATCATCACTCCTTGACACATATGTTATCGTCACGCATTGACACATACCCTATCGTCACCCATTGGCACATTCTTTTATCATCACCGCTTGACACATACCTTATCATCACCCCTTGACACATACGTTATCATCACCCCTTGACACATACGTTATCATCATTTCTTGACACATACGCTATCATCACCCTTGACACACACGCTATCATCACTCATTGACACATCCGCTATCGCCACCCCTTGACACATACGCTATCATCACCCTTGACACATATGTTATCATCACCCTTGACACATACGTTGTCATCACTCCTTGACAGATATGTTATCATCACCCTTGACACATACGCTATCATCACCCTTTACACGCTATCATCACTCCTTGACACACACGTTATCGCCACCCTTGAAACATACGCTATCACCACCCCTTGACACATACGTTATGGTCACCCATTTGCACGTACGTTATCGTCACCCATTGGCACATACGTTATCGTCACCCATTGACACATACGTTATCGTCACCCATTGGTACATACGTTATCATCACTCCTTGACACATACGTTATCGTCACCCATTGACACATACGTTATCATCACTCCTTGACACATGCGTTATCATCACCCCTTGACACATGTGTTACCATCACTCCTTGACACATACGTTATCATCACTCCTTGACACATACGTTATCATCACTCCTTGACACATGCGTTATCATCACCCATTGACACATGCGTTATCATCACTCCTTGACACATACGTTATCATCACCCATTGACACATACGTTATCACCCATTGACACATACGTTATCATCACCCTTGACACATACGTTATCATCACCCTTGACACATACGTTATCATCACCCCTTGACACATACGTTATCATCACCCCTTGACACATACGTTATCATCACTCCTTGACACATACGTTATCATCACCCATTTGCACGTACGTTATCGTCACCCATTGGCACATACGTTATCGTCACCCATTGACACATACGTTATCGTCACCCATTTGCACATACATTTTCGTCACCCATTGACACATACGTTATGGTCACCCATTTACACATACGTTATCGTCACCCATTGGCACATACGTTATCATCACCCCTTGACACATACGTTATCATCACTCCTTGACACATACGCTATCATCACCCATTGACACATACGTTATCGTCACCCATTGGCACATACGTTATCATCACCATTTGCCACATGCGTTATACCAGGCACGCCCGTCACCATTGTCCCTGTACACAGACGTTTCCATCTGTTACGACACACGTCATTATCCGCAGACGTTGGGGTGTACGTCATCGCCGTCTCCATAAGATACTACATTCCGCCTGAATGTGTTCATGACGTCCCCATGGATCTTCACTTGAACAGTTACAACTGACAAAACATCAAACTTCGGAAACCATAGGTTCATGCTCTCATGTCTGTAACACGTTAACGTCTTCGAGCGTACGGGCGGCAAGATTTGATTCAGATTGACAGGTTTATACTTAGGCCCTCGGTTATGTCCGAGTAACACTATGACCACCCTTCGGCGGGTCGTACGCCCCAGGCCATCGTGAGGACCACGCGACGCTCCCCGTAGTCTGCAACAAGGCTCATCACCACTTGACACGAGCGGAAGGGCGGTGGGGTAGCATAATGGTTAAAGCGTTTGGCTCGTCTCGCCGAAGACCCGGGTTCGAATCCCCACATGGGTACAATGTGTGAAGCCCATTTCTGGTTTCCCCGCCGTGATGTTGCTGGAATATTGCTAAAAGCGGCGTAAAACCATACTCAGTCAGTCAGTCAGTTGACTCGAGTGGTCACGGACGGATTATACAACTGCCTGTCCCATACTTCGGACATGTTTAAACAGTTGCTGGGCAACTGATTCAGTGAACATTGTACGACGATGAGTGAGTGAGTTTATTTTACGCCGCTTTAAGCAATATTCCAGCAATATCATAGCAGGGGACACCAGAAATGGGCTTCACTCATTGCACCCATGTGGAGAATCGAACCGGGTCTTTGGTTTGACGAGCGAACACTTTAACCACTAGGCTATCCCACCGCCACGTATGACGATGAACTAAGATGCAATAGCTAAACATACACGAGCTGCTGGTTACATCATTCGTGTCCAGCCTTATGCTATACTGAGAGAAACAAATAAAAGAACACATGAAAATTCAAGTGTTCTTTGAATATTTTCCAGTTTTCAGCACCAGCTCTGAATAGCGCTGTGGAAGGAAATGTCAAAATAAACAAAGGAACAATCCAAATTAAGTGGTGTTCCCTTATTTTTTTCCTTCAGTATATTTGCCATGTTCCACTACTAAGAGTCCACACTCGATTATGTACTGACCGCAGACATATAGCTGGAATATTGCTGAGTGCGGCGTAAAACTAAACTCACTCACTCGGTACCATGGGGCGATGGGTAGCCTCGTGGTTAAAGCCTTTACACAACAGGCCAGGGTTCCATTCCCCAGATAGGTACAATGTGTGAAGCCCATTCCTGGTTTCCTCCGCCCCGGTATTGCTTAAGTATCTCTAAAAGCGGTGTGGAACTGAACTCAGTCAGTCTCATTACCATCCACGTGACTTTATAGTCCTCATCAATTATCGGTATGAAACTTGTCGATACAATTATATTAGGCGTAGAATTTTGACACTTTCTGAGCCGCATGTTTGGGTAAGCATACACTGTTAATTGATTTCCATCTTAAAACTTCTGAAATAAATGCAATCACGCGTGTGTGAACAGATAGATAAATACATCCGCCATATGGCTGGAATATTGCTGAATACGGCGTTAAACAACAACAACAACAACAACAACAACAACAACAGCAACAACAATAACAAAATAAATGAATTAACAAATACGTAAACAGCCACAGCATATATGGCCGATTACTTGTACCGCCTGGAAATATATTGGTATGCTCACCTGCATCGTGACCTAATATCTAGAATTAGTCATCTGTGCGCCTGTCTTATAAATGTGATATTGTATTTCCTTTATGTGAAGTATGTAACAATGCTGCGAAGTTGTGTAAAATTTAAAAAAATCATTTTTAATACACGTGATGTTTGAGACTTAAATCAAACCTGTCAGTTAGCTCCAGTCTAGCAGCCTTCACACATGCAGAGCAGAGTGCAGATGCAGAGTGACGGGGTGAGTGAGAACGGTTGTAGAAATATTCCATCAATATCACGGTGGGAAACTCCAAAGAAATGAAGGTGCGCCTTTAACAAGATCAACGAGGTGTGTAGCGCTGGAAAATTGTTCAGTCCCCATGTACTCACCAACACCTGCTGGTGTATTGCGTGTATTACAATAGATTGTTTACGTTCGAGACTCAAAAGTGGACAAGAAGTAATCTATGCTACTCAACCTTAAATAGGGATTAACATTTCTGGCACACGCACGCACGCACGCACGCACGCAGACATATGAGAAGTTTTAGTATCATGGAAAGATAGAACAAAAAACACTCCTAAGAAATACAATATAAAGCTGCTATCAAAGTCTAAATAATACAGGAAAAGTACACACTGAAATGAAACTCATCTGTGCGTCATTCAAACCATAAAGTATTCGGTGGGTGTTGTCAAATATGCAAAACTTCATGACTCAGCTCCTACGAACGCCCGAAAACGACCCACATTCTGTACACTCTAAAACATGTACAAAATGAATAAAAAATGTCAAATATGATAGTTTTAGGTGGAAAATGTAAAATCAAACGCCGCAATATATCTGGAAAGTACGTCAAATCAATTTGTGACATTATGCAAATGAGACGAGTCCGAAAACTCCACAACACCGCGCCTGTGTTGGGAAGTCTATTGAAGACGGCACCTCAGCGACAGGTGACTGACAGGCATGACGGGAGTTTCTTATACCTGTTATTTATGGCGCCTGGGAAGGCCCGAATACTCCTCAAGTGTCTGATTTTATCGTCATGAGATTTTGTCGAACCTTCTTTTCCCTTTTTCTTGACGTCAATTTTTGAATAATTTCGCCAAGTTTCGGACGGCGTGTTATACTCGGGCAGCAAGCCGCCATCGACTGAAATCCACAAGTAAAGTAAGTGTACTTATTGATAGTTGTAGTTTCTGATCTGAGGTTATTAGGTCACTGCATTTCATCTATCAACGCTACCTGACTTATGTAGCATAGAAATTTGATAATCTAGTGTGTCTCTTTTTATTCATTTTGGTCCTAGGAATTTTAATTCAATCATTTAAGTGTTTTACGTAGGGATTAGTGTTTTATTTGTATGTATGCATAGATCTTGATTTGACAAAAATATATGTGGTTCAAGAAAGTATTTGTTATTTGTTTTTATAAGGCTTTTTACACAATATTTCCTCAATACTTGGTCGTTCCGCGCCATGACCAGAAACTCTCAAAGTCCGTGTTGGTTACCGCTGTCATGTTTACCTGTATTTGTGGGGGTTTTTGTGTGTTAAATGATGTGTGACATGACGCTACATTGTAAGTATTGCACCTAATTAAATTATTAGTCCATATTTATTTCTGTGAACGGACATTCCATCCATTGTATCCGCTAAGGGTATTTCTCTGGTCTCACGAAAGTGTGGAATGTTCATGTGCTTCTTGTCATGCGCTGTATAACATCGCTACCGTCACGTTTATGATAATTGATCTTTGTGACCCTGTGTGGGGAATTGGTTAGGACTGGTACCAAGTAAACTATGCTGGTCGAAGGGGTGACCAGAAGGATCGGGTGGTCAAGCCGTCATTTGATCCATCCCGGTTGATCGTAATCCTATATTCACTAGGGATGTCACGATACATAAGTTTCATGAATCGATACGTATCACGATACCAATGTCACGATTCGATACGTATCACGATACCTATTTTCGCGGCATTATTGCGTAAATTTAGTTACATTTTTAACATTAATATTTCATATTTTATAATTGTCCATGAAAAGATGAACATTTTTTATTCTCAGAGATTAAAAAGTTCTATTTTCCCATCTTTGTGCATGAAAACTAATCATTTATAACTCTCATAACACAAAAAAACATGTTATAATTGCAAAATGTAAAAGATACATAAACATATTTAAACCGATACTTCCGAAATTAAATATCGATACAGTTTTGAATGTATCGATAATTGTATCGTCTCAGAAAAAGTATCGATGTATCGTGGCATCCCTAATATTCACTGTATTAATCACTGGACTATCTGGTCCAGACTCTGTTATCTGCAGGCCGGTTAATAAAGCTCTATCAGAGCGGATTTCTGTGTTAGATATTCAACAAAACACAAGCAAAGAACTGAACAAATTACATAATGGTGGTAATACTTAGAAACTCAACACAAATTTTGAAATGCATGAATCACCTGTACAGTTATCTATAAATCTCCACGTGCCCAGAGACAATTTACATAATTATTACGAATAGTAATTATAATGAAAACGGAATAAACAGTGAACCAGTGACGACATGTGTGCTAATCTAACCAAGTTAAGATGAGACTTCAGAAAATTGTAATGAAGTACACAATAATGAAATAAGGCAAACATTACTTATAGAAGAACCTATGTTTGAGGGATTCGAAAACACACTTGCCCAGCCAGGCATCTAATCGCCAAAGCATAGTTATGTGCCTGACTCTGAGAGTATGAGTTCGAATCCCGGATAGGACTCAACCCAAAAGTACTCGAATCTGTACTTTTCTGAGAACGTTTAATCCCAAATATAACATATATTATTTTATGCAGTTTTAAAATTGAATTTAGTTGGTAATAAACTTTATGTTAATTTATGATATAGACACTTTGCTTCCGAAACAATCTTTCAATAAATATACAATGTAGATGACAGATCAAGCTGAGCTGTTTGTTATGAGTACACAAAGGATATTGTTGGTCATGTTAGGGCATACAGTTCCATATCGGAGGGGACATTTGAGATAAAAAATTTAGTATCGTCATACTGGGATGGTGAATGAAATGATATTTAATATACAGTCGAGCACCGTTCTCTCGATATTCATGGGACCAAGAAAAATATCGAGTTATCCGAACTTCGAGACATCCGACCAGGGTATATCATATTAATAGGGAGGAAGACAAAACAAAAAGTAGGTTTTATGTATATGCATTTGTATATACATTTTTAATCACAGGGATCGCAATCACACACGATACAACTCAAGTTACAGTGACCGGCCATCTTGAATGATACAAAAGTTGGATTTATTCAACAATCGAAACAATTCAACAATCAAATGATAGTCACGTTATTACACAAAACCCTCATAGGGTTCTCAGTATATTTGATTCGAAACTATAATCCGTTATCAGTAGTGATTAGACGGTATCAACCTGTTTCGTCTAATTTTTAAAACAGGTAAACAGTATATTAGACGACCAAGGCATAGTCAGGGTTGAGTGACTTTGCTTGTTAGACGAAGTAGGCATGTGGACCAGTCCATTTCAAACTTAACAGGGGTGTTACCACAAAATAAGAACAAAGACAACATAAATATATTTCATCGTACATTTTAATATTTATTATTTTACTGTACTTATTTGCATATATATCTCACACATATATAACATTCACAAATATATAGAATATATATTTTATCATATATTTTTACTTATATTATAGTTAG